GTGCTCCGCCAATCTTTGGCAGATAGGTAGAAAGGTCTCGCCAACCAGTAGAAGCTTGACCACATGAGCAGGCGAACCTGTGACAGCCGGATCTTGAAAAGGGATGGTGCCTTTCTTCAAAGGAAGGCATGACCGAATAGGTTGTCGGGTTTGTTTTAAAACTCTTTTTATACCCCAGTAAAGTCAGCAGAACAAAGTCATTGCTGAACCCACTTCCCTGTTGAGTGCAAGTGTGTGAGCGTGTGATTAAGGGATCCAATAGTCGATCCCACCAGAAAACGATGGCGTGTTCATTTGGCTTTACTGGAAGATTCATCATCGGTTCTATTCTATTCTATTCTATTATAATCTATTCTATTCTATTCTCTTATATTCTATTCTATTCTATTCTCATCTATTCTATTCTATTCTATTCTATTCTATTCTATTCTATTCTATTCTATTCTATTCTATTCTATTCTATTCTGGTGGTAAACTTTTGTCCACTATTCTTACAATCATATTCAAGTTAATACATGAAAGCTCATGCTCCCACATGAGCATACTTCTATATTAAAATAAAGCTGTAACTAATCAAATCACTTTATACCTCATCAAATAGCATGCATTTCTGGTATAATTACAGCACTAAGAGATGATTCGGTGAAATTTTCTCAATTCTTTGGCTTTACTATAATTACAAGATTGACAAATTGTCACCAGCTTTGCTGCATAATGCTTCAGTAGAACTAACCGACAGTTTGACGAGAGGACTCCGTTGTCGTCTTCTCGAGGGATCCGGATTTGAAACCGTCTTGCTTAAAATGGAAGTGCGTTAAACAATTAGAAGCTAAGGGGTTCAATGAAATACAATTTTTCTAGAATGTTCCGGTAAAAGCAAATAATGACTTGGCCAGAGGAACCCTTGTTGTCGTACGGTAGGATCGAACTTCGAGTCTCTTTATCATGCATAGAATTAACAATTGTAGACCAGGAGATTCCCAGAAAACAAACTTTTATCTGTAGCTAAGAGCCGTCAACATCAGCAGAAGAGCCCTTCCTTTGTCTCCGGGGCAGCCTCTGAGCCTCGTGGTTGTCCGGCCGTCTCGGCTTCTCTTGGCCCCCCAACCCAACGGTATCACAAATCTCTCCAAATGACTAAAGATGGCCACAACGGCCATAGCATCTCTACTTACCGGTTCTACGAGGGCTGTGTTCGTCGGTTTTGGGCCCCCGAGACCGGCGCTTGGCGCAATTGACACGCCCGAGGCGGGCAGTCCCGATCCCGAGGAACCAGCGCAAGTTGCCACACCCTCATGGCTGGCAATCACAATTGACGTCTCGTCCAAGGCCTCATTGTCCGACTGAACCGCCGACGATGTACAACTCGTCACAGTCGGACCCGTCAACTTGTCGCTTGACAACATCGTCCAATCGCCACGACAACCGAGTCCACGGGGTGAATGGGTGCCCTGTCTGAGATCGACACCGCCTCTGGAACTGCTGGACTGTCCTTTTAGGTTAGATCCGCTGAAGAGGGAGCCGACTCCGCTGCCGGAGGGGTTCAACAGAGCTGTCGGATTGTTGGGCGCATAGAGGCGAAAACAACGCGCCAATTCGCAGCGTTTGCAATCGATGCCTCGCTTCGGCATCCAGCCTGACCACCAGTTAAAAAAGAGGCAAAACTCTCTTAATCATCCGTCGCCTCACTACTCGCTAATTAGAAAGTAGTCTGTCCAAATAGGCAACACGGATATGCCTCCATCGCTCTTGGCGACTTGCTCAAGACAGAAGATGCTCCAGGAAGGCCACTCAGATAATGTACCACCATACCATGAGGATGAGCTCTCCTTTTAGAGAACTTTTTCGTACGTTTGATGACGCCTTATCCCATAACATGGAGAATATATATATATATATATATGTACACATATATGCATGCATCAACCACAAAAGTAAAATAGTTGGGCACCGATCACAACTTACAAATCCCACGTTGCGATAGGGAGCTGCGGAAATGGCCGATAAAATGTAGCGTGCCTGAGTTGTACTCAAAGAATCGAATGCTGGCGTCCCCCTGAAATAAGAAATGAAAGATGACTTGCAGCCTGTAGGCTAGTTAAATAAGCTTCTCAACCGCTTATTAAAGCTAGAGTTTTAGTCTTTTTCACCATTTGTTATTATCATTAGTATTATCATTTCATTATTAATTATTATGTCAGACAGATAACAAATACACAAAGCTTTTAGTCTCTTATAAACCTATAGGAAGAAATGAATCTTTTGATTTACAATTATTGAACTCACCTTCATTTCCGAGGTCAATCTCTCCAAGAAAGATGAGGTGAAAAGATGCTAAGATTCCCTTTGTCATATGACGGATTCATCAAATTTAAGAACCAAGAAAAATCATCAACTTATTTCTAAATTCTGTACACATATCCTAAAAATATCCATCTTTATTAGATATTAAGTAATTTGGTTAGTTCATATGTAAGTAAAGTTATTACACCAGAAAGGATGTCGGTCATCAAGTTCAATGGGCTTATCAAAACTATCATGAGCCGGGTTAAGTTGATAAGCTAGTGTGTGTGTATAGGGTTATAATTAAAACCATGTTCAACAAAAAGCTAGTAAATAATAATCCATCAATTAGGAAATATAGTATAATAGCTTTTTGATGAATAATTAAATTGTGGCCTCGCATTTGTATTTTGATGCCCAAAGCTTAATTATGCGTGAATACATATGAGGAGATCGGCGCCAAAACGAATGATGAGCAACAACTTCGGATGCAGAACTCTAAATATCCTCGCTGACATCGTGAAAGGGGGAATTAAAGCTCATAACAAATAGTGTTATAATCTCATTCACATAATTGATAATGTCAAACAAGGATTTGATATTTGGGTGGAACCTACGACAGCAAATTTATATTTCTTCAGAGGGCTGTAATAGTGCCCTCAATTGCCAAACCCACTTGAAAATTATTCTACCATGCATGCGAATTCCGATGAGACCTCAAATTGGGGTATCTTCCTACTCAATAGCCAACCGTTCAAGGCACAATAAAGTAATTCTAACATAGTTATATATCCCTGACAAGAATACGAGTCAGCTGAATTAATTTAGCGTGATGTATAATAGATAAGTGATTGTTTTCCTATCAAATCAATTTGTTACTATTTAATAAGTAATTGTGATCTAAAAACAAGCTCAAAGCGCAACGAATCTTGACAAACCTTCTCCAACCAGTACCTGAGATAAATTAATAAAACACACATACTACTATGTAATTTTAAGTAGCTACTTATATTCTAATCAAATTGCCCCATTAATGTTTAATTATGTTGAAGATGCTTAGAACAACTTCTAGCTAGAAACAGTGCAAGAAAGTTGTTAAACCAAACGGCAGTAACTTAAAAAAAATAATGACAACATGATAGTAGTGAGGACACGATAGCAGTGGTGCAAAAAATAATATAAGTCATGGCAATCAAAGTCCTTCACATACACGTCCTGCGATGAAGAGTAAGTTCGTGTCCGAGTCGAAATGAGCCATTAGAGCGCCAGAAGATTGATCCAATACGCCTTTGTCCAGTGGAGCCGATGTGTTGGCCTGAAAGGGAAAAACCAAAGTAAAATTGGCACTGTCCGTAGCTGGTATGAAGTGGAGTCATGGGAAGTGGGCGGCAAAGGTTATAATGCAAACAATCGGTCCCTATCGTCAGATTGGTTGGAAGTACAGTCAATCGTGAGACCCTTTTTCAGGCACCAACAATCGAGCCGTTAGCGTCGGCCTGACCGGGTGAGCTCACGACACTTTTTCTGCTTTCATTCAGAGGCCCAGCTATGAGCCATTCTGGTATATGCTAGTCTTATGAGATGTATTCACCCTATTTCGCGCAAGGTGATGAAGGACTGGTAGTACAATTTTCCCACAATGATATGAGTTGAGCTCACTGCAGTTTCGACCTCGCAACTATCTTATCAACAGCCCCAGCGGGAGTCGAACTGTGACAGTGCGGAATGGGAGCTTGACACGTCAACCAGTCGACCATATTGCTATGTGAAATTCAATGGGAAAATTTTACTACTATTCCTTCATCACATTTAATGAAATAAGTTGAATACATCTCATATTACTGATTTACTGATAGTCCCGAAACTCTACTTAAATATGGAAAATATGCTGAAATGAGCTGATGGGCCAAAAGGGCGGAGAAGTCACGTTGACCCCCCGAACCAACGGAATTTAGGGAGGTTTTCTGCTTATCTCTCTTCTCGAGAGCCGCCCGGAGGTCTGGAGCTTAGGTCACGATGTGCCCTTCCCATACGATCTAATACCGGTCGGTCTCTATGTGCCGACTTGCCGACTGGAAAGCACCACTGCGTGCTCTTCACTCATGCACAGACGTACACGACAACTGCTTGAACCCTTGAATATTGATCCCCCTTAGCGACTGGAGCCGCGCAAAACACACTGTCGTCCGGAGAGATGGGACGGTCTCATTTTGTGCTGGATGTCGATGTGCAGAAATGTCTACAGTTGACAGAAGAAAAGGGTGGGGGTGGTGGATGGGGGAGGAGGGGTCAAACGCAGTTCTTGTTGACCACATGCCGACAAAGCCGTCTGCAAATTGTGGAGGCAAAAGACGACAAGAATGCAAGCTGGACGGTCCAAATACCAGATGGGCTGGTGGGCCGGAGCATGGCATTCTCTGAGAAGAGCAGCTACTTTTCGTGTCCGCGACAGACCCAGGTTTGGTCGATCTGCCTCGTAGGACCTTCGAGTCGTCCGAGCTCCTGCTCAGGCTGGAGGCCGGCTTGTTGTGCGCTTGTCCGTGTGATTCTTGTATCGCACCATCCATTCAACCCACATCCATACAGAAGCCTGTGGCTGTGCAACTCTCCCTTTCTTCGTCTATTCTCGATTGATGCGTGCGTCTGTACATGCATGAGTTTGTGTGTGTGTTTCTGTGTATGCCAGTCTATTGGTATTTTGTTCAAAATAGCTCTTTTGATGCTATATGTTCAGGCACACGGTTGTGTGGATGTTTACATGACCGTGCATACGAGAGAGAGAGAGAGAGAGAGTAATAAGTGCAGAGAGAGCAAGAGGGATGGATCATGCCGTAGCAGAGTGGGTACACATGAAGCAGTGCGTAAAATACTGTAAAATTTTGCACCAAAGAATAAGGAAAAACGACGAAACTAGGATGCACTAAATAGGAAGACAAAAGAAAAGAAGAAGAAGGAAGTGTGAAAAAGCTAGAGTTGAGAATGTCGACTCGATCTGCGCTAGAAGGGCTTTGGGCAGTTGTGATCTGCAAGAAATTCCCGAGCCAGTTGGGTGACACTTTCATATCCAAAGTGTCTTGGACACTTTTCAGTCTA